AAAAACAAGAGAAGTTTAAAAGAAAAGGAGTTGAATACATAACACCAAGAGGCATATATAATGTGTTCTTTACCCATAAAACATGTTCTGAGATGTGTAATTAAGACTTCACGAAGACAAGAACAAAAGACAGAGAACGAGGAAGGTAGAAAGAACCACGAGAGATGCAGTTGTGGATGCTCGGGGGATAGAATCAGAAGTAGCGGATGCGGACTGGGTGACATTAGTGCAGTCAAGACCTTCTTTGCCTTCTTTACACATGTTGGCAAAGATTCCAGGAGGATAACGACCGTAAAGGTTGATGTAGCTGAACATTGTGGAGGCACAATCGTTCTTTTCGTCGTTAAGAACTTCTGCAAAAGGGCAAGCAAAATCCTTGAAGGCGGAGCAACACACATTTGCCGGATAATTTGGTCCTTTGCATCTGCTTGTTATGATTGTGTAGTTCTTGTTCGCAAAATCTTCTTTGCACGCTGGTTCAAGAAAACAGAAAACAGAAAACAGAAGATCCACACTTGGATTAGAATCAAGATTTGGTAAATCATAAATTAGGAAGGATGATATTTACTTGTCCTTGTCTGAAGAAGAGCTCTGCTTGTGGCTGCGTGACCATCAAATTCATCATCTGCACATTCAAATCCATAAACTTTTTAACAATTTTTATCCTCCTATATATGATGAACTTGAAAATAGAAAGAAAAGAAAACAAATCATTTATAAATACTTAAAAAGAATGCAAGAAATTGAGAAAATTCATACATGAGAGGGAGAAACCAGAGAGGAGGAAAATGGGAAGAAGAGAAAGCAAACAGTAAGGAGAAATCTCCATTGTTTCTCTGTTTCTTCCTCTCTTCTCTTCTCTTTTCTTTTTCCATTACTTCATTTTTTTTTTTTTGGTATTTCTGTTTCTTTTTTAGTAAAATGAAAGTTATAGGAGGAGAGACAATTTCGGAAATGTAAAAAAAAAAAAAAATCATTGATCATTTCATTACAAAACCAAACCATACGAAAGCCTAAACGACGACGTGTCGATAGAACTAAATTCAGTAAACAGAAGTTGAATTCTTTGCAAAATCTGTCCAAAGTTTTGATTTTTTTCTTCTCCAAATTGCAAATGTTAAACCCTAAACCTTAGTTTCTCTGTTTGAAATCTGTATCATCACCAAAGTATGAAGCATCTTCTTCATCTTCTTCGTCTTGTTCGTCCAAAGCCAAACTACAATCTCAGGAGGAGCTTCCTTTTTCACTCCGGCAAGACCACACCCTCGCCGTTGGACCCTTACGACACTCTGCAGCGTCGAGTCGCGAGAGCTGGAGATCCCTCTGCTTCGATTATCAAAGTGTTGGACGGATGGCTTGATCAAGGGAATCTGGTTAAGACTTCGGAGCTCCATAGCATCATCAAGATGCTTCGCAAGTTCAGCCGTTTCTCTCACGCTCTCCAGGTCTCTCATTTACTGGATTCCTCTGTTGCTTAGTTTCTTAAAAAGTTCATCTTTTTTTGTTGTTACTCTGTGATGATACGAATCCAATTCTTAAAAATGGTATCTTTTTGTTCTTGTTGTCATGTTTATGATGTTAGATATCAGATTGGATGAGTGAGCATAGAGTTCATGAGATCTCTGAAGGAGATGTTGCGATTCGGCTTGATTTGATTGCTAAAGTTGGTGGTTTGGGAGAAGCAGAGAAGTTTTTCGAATTGATTCCTATGGAGAGGAGGAACTACCATCTCTATGGGGCTCTCTTGAACTGCTATGCGAGCAAGAAGGTGTTGCATAAAGCTGAGCAAGTGTTTCAGAAGATGAAAGAGCTTGGCTTCCTCAAAGGTTGTCTTCCCTACAATGTGATGCTGAATCTCTATGTCCGGACTGGGAAATACACAATGGTTGAGAAGTTGCTGCGCGAAATGGAGGATGGGACTGTGAAGCCCGATATCTTCACCGTGAACACGCGGCTCCATGCTTATTCGGTTGTGTCTGATGTAGAGGGGATGGAGAAGTTTCTCTTGCGTTGTGAGGATGACACAGGACTTCATTTGGACTGGCGCACTTACGCTGATACAGCGAATGGCTACATAAAGGCTGGATTAACTGAAAAGGCGATAGAGATGCTGCGTAAATCAGAGCAGATGGTGAATCCTCAGAAAAGAAAGCATGCCTATGAGGTTCTCATGTCATTCTATGGAGCTGCAGGTAAGAAAGAAGAGGTGTACCGTCTCTGGAGCTTGTACAAGGAGCTGGACGGGTTCTACAACACTGGATACATAAGTGTGATCAGTGCACTCTTGAAGATGGATGACATCGAGGAGGTTGAGAAGATTATGGAAGAGTGGGAAGCTGGACACTCCCTTTTCGATATCCGGATCCCACACTTGTTAATAACGGGTTACTGCAAGAAAGGGATGATGGAGAAGGCAGAGGAAGTAGTAAATATGTTGGTCCAGAAGTGGAGAGTGGAGGATACAAGCACATGGGAGCGTTTAGCTCTCGGGTACAAGATGGCGGGTGAAATGGAGAAGGCGGTGGAGAAATGGAAGAGAGCAATAGAGGTGAGCAAGCCAGGGTGGAGACCACACCAGGTTGTGCTGATGAGCTGTGTGGACTATCTGGAAGGTCAAAGAGACATGGAGAGTTTGAGAAAGATTTTGAGACTTTTAAGCGAGCGAGGACACATTTCATACGATCAGCTACTATACGATATGAACGGAGCTGGACTGAGTTGGAAGATAGTCGATGCAATGGGAAAAGGTCGATACGTTGAGGAAGTACGAATCTAGACCGGGACACATTCCAAACAATGAAGTCTTGAGACCATTTGGATAAATGCAATTTCGTTTCATCTACAAGCATCTTTTGGGCTTAAGCTTGTCTTAAGAATGAGTTAACTGATAATAGATTAATGTTAACTATATAGCAATCAGAGTTACAAATTAATTTTAAACGCTAGTCTTCTCCACCAACCAGGAAACCAATGTGTAGCTATTATTGATGTGTTTGCTCAGAAACGCCTAATAGATTAATGCTAAACTAGATAACAAACAGAGTTACAAATATGTAGATTGAATTGTCATTCTTCTCCACCAACGTATCCTCCTCCTCTCATTGCCTCCACCATCTTCAGGCTCAATCGGTCTTTGTCCATTGCATGCAACACTTGCTCTCGCTTATTCAGGAGTCTCAGAATGTCCGCTGTACTCTCCATGTCTCTCCGACCCTCCACATATTGCACGCATGCATAAGCGGACAGAGCCATGCTGCTCTTTGGGTTCCAGCGGTCATGCAGCATCCCCTCCATGGCCTCTGCCACTCTCTTCCTCCTCTGCTCTTCTTTACCATCTTCATCCTCCACCAAATTATTAACCTTGTGTGCCAAACTCTCCCATTTGCTCTCCTTCTCCCCAATCATATCCACAATCTTCTCAGCCTCCTCCTTCATACATCTATGTTGGAGACCAAAATCCATCAGATCAATATTGGGACACTCATTCCACTCTTCCATAACCTCATCGAGATCACCCTTCTTCATAAACGCCTTGACGATATCAGAACATTTGGAACTGTCAAAGGATATCCCATAGTCCTTAGCCAAGTTCCAGAGACGGTACACATCCTCTGTTAGATTCTCGCTACAATAAGCAGTCATGAGACATCCATAGATGATTTCTCTAGCGCCGTCACCAACAAATGGCTCTGTCCTACGAAGCAAAGCTAAACCCTTTTCCCTAAACCCTGCTCGTATGTAGACCAATCCTGGAAAGTAGAATGTGGTCCATTTTTCCTGTATCATCACCTCCCACTTTCTCAAAAACTTCTCCATACCTTCTACATCCAAAACAGATGCCATTGAGTAAGAAGTTAAAAGCTTGTCAAAGGATAGTCCTTGGGGTTGCATCTTTTTCTCGTCCATCTCAGCAAGAAGCTTCACCACCATGTCGTGATCTTCAGCCTGATGGTAGAGACAGAGCATAGTGCTATAGAGTTGAGGATTGTTATCAGCAAAACCAAGCTCTCTAATCTTCTCAAAAGTAGTCTCAGCTATGGTCACAGAGCTGTGTGTTTTGCAGCAGCTCAAGAGAGCATTGTACAAATAAAGATCCCTCTTTTCTACAGGAACAGTCTCGAAGAACTTAGCCGCTTCTTCAACACCACAAACTTTTGCAGTCAAGTAAAGCCGTCGCTCAAAATCCATCGAACTCAGCTTGTAAGCTTTTTGTTCAATCATCCAATCCGATACCTAACAACACCAAAAACCCTAAAATTAACAAAATTGTAAAAGTCCAAATTTTGCTCTTTTTTTGAAACCCCTAACCTGGAGAGCGTGAAAGAAGCGATTGGATCTGTGAAGAGAGGTGATGATGCTTCTGAGTTCTGAAAGTGCCGTTTGATTTCCGAGTTCGCACCATTCTCGGAGCAACGGAGTGATGGAGACTGACGAATTTTGGACTCGCTCGATCCGACGCTTGAGAGTGTCATTAGTGAGCTCCGGTGAAGGAATGGTTTTAGGGAAATGAACGAAGGAACGTCTACAAGGAAGTTTCCAGAAGAAATTACTGAATTGTTGCCGGAGAAGATGCTTCATGCTCAAGCTAGAACCAAGACAAAACAAAATCCTAGGTTTTCGCTTCTGTCTGCGTTCAGTCCACTTTACGACGACACTTAATTTTACTTTCATAAAATAAATTGCCTTAACCGGATTTGAATTAGAGAATTCCGGTTTGAATCTCCCACTACAAAAACAAAAAAAAAATTGTACTTACCACTTACCAGTCTTACTAGATTAATCCAGAATTCATACATATAAAGTAATGTAAATAAACATGTACAATGGAAATATTGTAAGTATCGGTTTCGGATTGGCTCTTTCGAAAAGAAAGTTTTCACCCGATAACTTAATAAAATAGTGTTTTGGCGAAAAGAAAAAAATGGAAATATTGTAAGCAAAGATCATAACACAAAGTCTTTTCAAATACAAATATGATTTTCTAAGAAAACAAAAAAAATTTAGGCCTCAGAATACATTATTGTAAAAAGTTCGTTATCATTGGTTTCTCAAACGATGTTGGCAAATTTGAATCATCATAGGCCCTTTCTTTATGCAGAAAGATCAAAAATGAAAAAGTACACACAATAATGAGCCTCAGACTGATTAATGTGACAGAAAATCAACAAAACACACAACTGACACAATCGAAAAACTTGGTAGATGATGATCGTGTTAGTATGCAAGAACAAGAATGGAACAAGAAGCAGAGAAAGACAAAGGACTAAGAAGAGAGGTAAAACGCCATTTTTACTATCTCAAGAATACAGAATCATCGAGAGCTCCTCAAGATCTCTCTCTCTACCAATCCAAGATCACAACCTGAACACGGCTTTTTATAACGGAACAATCAGACTGTTAACCAACTTCGGTTCAATTAGTTCCTCGGTTTAATGTCTTTAATTAGTGCTAAAAACTATTAAGATAATCCCATGAATAACAAAAAGTCTTTGTCGTTTATGATGATGTCGGCTCAGTTTTTACTATCAAATCTTTAACTTAGTTTATTAGTAATGAAATTATACTTACTTTTTGTTATCTATTACGTCTAGTCTCTTGTATAATTTATATTGTTCATTGCATCAATAAAACTTCTAAACACAAATATTAATCACTCTTGTTTATACATCAATTAAACTCAGACTTCCAATACACAAATATTACCATGAAAATTTACTTATGTTAACGATTTTATGGATTATGTTTTGTATTCAAAGTCAACGAAAGATAACAAAGATGATGAAAAACCACCAAGTTTGACTCTTCCTTTCCATTTGTCATTTGTGAAATTGCCCTTGGAGGCCAAGCTGAAATCTATTTTCCTACTTGTTAAGAGAATAAAGTTTAGCTTGGCCTCCAAGGACAATTTTACAAATGACAAATGGACACATCCACTCACTCATTCATTACTCTCTAGTCTCTAGAGAAGTCAAGACGCAGCAAGTAGCAAGGACGTTCCGAGTCACATTGGATTACACACATTAGATTGGGCCTTGATCTGAAGGTTATTGGGGTTAGAGAACTTGGGCTAATCTTAACAGATTCGCTTAAGCTTCACCTTCACATGTAAGTTCGTACAAGTCATTGTGTTTTTGAACATGAGAAATTTCGGATGGACAACACATTTAGTGAAATAGTGAGAAAAGCAGATAAGTTGGAAGTAAATTGATAGGGAAAAACAAACAATAAAATTGCATACAATCATTGTTCAGAACCAATATTTTTGTGTTATCTAATTACAAGAAATTTTCTCCCTTGATATGGTGTTAAGGCCAAAATACAACAATACAAATAGAATAGAAACATTTCAATAACTAAATTCCAGTAGAGAGATGAGGACAAGACTTGACTTCTCAGTTGTGATACTTCTTCCTGCACATATTGTTAAGCCAAAGAGATGAAATATTACCAAATCAAGAACAAAGAATGGTAGTTCCTAGATGTAGTCGAAACCAAATCTGTCTTTCCACAAGCAAAAATTCATTCTAAACCATTTACCATGATGAGACATATTGCTGCTTGTTGTTGTTCTTCAGATATCAAGTATGACAACAAAATGACTATGAAATAACTAAGTTGGTAAGATTTAAACAAGGTTCATAGATGTCGTGGGGACAGATCACATGGAGGAGCATATAAAATCTCTACACTACAACAACACCAGCCTACTCCTAGGCAAATAACAACAGCAAACTCATGAGGCTTCAGAAGTGTATCATTCACTCACTTGTTCAAAGCTAAAAATAGCTTTGATCAGGCAATGTAGGCAAAGATATGAAACATCATCACCAGCCTCTCATCCTCAAAATCCAAAAACAATTCTCTAAGAAAACAACACTAAAGGCCTCAGAAATTACATTTTGTAAGAAAGTTATATCATTGGTTTATCAGACAATGTAGGCAAAATTTGAATCATCACAGGCCTTAAAGAGAGATACTAATCAAAGACAGGAAAATTAAAAAGCAAAGAGCCTCAGACTAATTAAAGAATTCATTTCAGTGGCAAATCAAACAATGTAGACAATCTTTTTCAATCATCACTGGCTCTTTATCTAAACCCAGTTCTCAAAGGTTATGACTTTGCAAAGCACAAAGAGAAGAAGATAAAAATCACAACTTTACTTAATTCAATGAATTGAATTCGATCAATTAAAACAAAAGTACGAAGCTTTGATAGTAATAATGAAAACTGAATCGCTCACTGGCTTTTCTCGTTCATAGAAGATCGATCATAAGCCTTGAATCTTTTTCTCACCGCCACCAAGAAGAGTTTTTATCTTCTTTCCTCTGAAACCCTAGCATCCTTTTTATATTGCAACTGTTGCGTAAAGCGTTGGGAAGGGCCCATATATCGGCCCATCAAAGCTCAACCCAATTTCAAATTGGGATAAGGCCCATGTACCGGCCCATTAAACAGCCATTCTTTTTCCTTTTTTTCCTTTTTGTTCAAATTTAAAAATTTGGGGTTCATGTTAAATGCAAAAAAAAAAGGAAAAATCTGGGGTTCATGTAGGCTCTTATCTTTAAATTAAAGCTGAAATTTGAAAGATTAGTTTTTAGTATTCTCTAATAAATTCTTCTTTTCTTTAAAATGATTGATAAAAAAAGAATCTGTAAATTCTTGCATCATAATTAGTAGATCTCATATCCATATTAAAGAAGATGTGTTGACATCCTCCAACAAATCCAAGGAGGAGAAAAGAATGAAGAAACCAACAATTAAGAAAGACTTAGAGATAAATAAATATGAAACCCATAAAAGTAAGAAGACAAAACTTAGTATGAGAGTTTTAAAAAATAAAACAAAGACAAAGAGAGAGATAATTTGGGAGATGTAATGGAAGAAGGCCAAGAATGAAGAAGTATCTTAACGACGAAGGTTCTTGACTTTGGACCAACCCTTCTTACAAGATTTGCCGACAACTTTGATGCCTTTCTTGAACAGATGTTTCAGCTCCAAGGCCCTCATCTTCACCTGATCCTCAAATGCTCCCATCTTCTTCTTTCTTTCTTTCTTTGGATTCTCCTCTCTTCTCTCGGAGGTGAGAGATGTGTTGAAAATTTTGTTTGTGTCCTCGTCTCTCTCTCTCTCTCTATGTAATATATAAGGGATTTATATAAATATAAATAGCTGTGAAATGTTATTAATAGACTAATTGGATCATTACACCTAAGCTAAGCTATCTCTGCTGTTTTTTTTTTTATCTAATTTTGCAATTGCTTTTATTAAAAGAAACATCTTCTTTTCTGTGTTGAAAATTTGAAGAAAATAGATAGGTGGTTTTTGCCAGTTAAATGAATCATCTTCTGCGTCGATCCAGAATGGGTTTTGTACACGTGGCATAATTAGGACCGTTGGATGTTTGCGGTGAAAATTGCCAGCTGTGCAATCCTCATCACGAAATGGACCACCTATTCCTATTGGTTGGTGCTTCCTTTTTTCCCATGAATTAAGAACTTTTGATTTTTGTATGATTATTACATGTCACAATTAGACAATTCTTGCATAAACTAACCCGTGACATACTTGGAAATTGGAATAAAGCCTAACCTGTTTTTTCTTGTTAATTAAGCTCTTACCTTTTTTTTGTTGCTTTAGTCAACACACTTTCTTTCGTAAAGACGACTCTTTCTCTAAAGCTTTAAGGAACAGATCAGCTATGTTTTTTACACACTGTTTATTCGCTGTCTTGTCTTAACAAAGAAAGATTCGTTGGAACCATTTTCCTTCTCAGTTACGTCGTTGCTATAAAATAGCGTAAAGAAAAGTGTCAAGGCATTATACAAGGAGTGGACGAGCACTGACGTAGTCGTTGGTTTAAATTCTTTGTTTATTGCTGTAATGTGCAGGCTAAAATCTCTTAATGAGTTATCGGATAAAAGCTCTTATCAACCATACTTTCTTCAAAACACAATTCACTCTCTCCTCCCATATATTCGGTGTTATCGATCATTATAGCTTTGAACACAATTCTTCAGTTTTGCTTTGTTTTTCTCATAACTCTGAATTTTCACTATATATGGTTTAAAAATTCAATCCAAACTCTTAAAATATTAGATATGTATAAGGTGGGGAAGTTTTCCTTGTCATCTGAACGTGGGGCTAAGAGAGGAGTGTTAAGGCATTGTACAATGAGTGGACGAGTACTGACGAGGCCAAGTTCCCTGACCAGATGTAACATGACCCAATAACGCACCCTATCCCAAACAGCTGCACAAAATCCTCACCTGAGAAGTGAGCTGCTGCAAATACTCCTGAGCTGATCACTAGTGCCTTCCACCATTCCATTCTCGACGCTAAGGAGGTCAGTAGAAAGCGTCTGTACACTATCTCCTCAAGGATGGGAGCTACACCGCAGTAGAGAGCAAAACACCCGCTTCTCGCCACTTCCCCGCTCACCATTATCTTCTTCAATTCCGAGTTTTCCACAGCCTGAGATCAAACAACATTGCTTCTGCTATGTTAAAATGTTTATCATCTTAGCAGAGAATGGTGTACTAGATCAGGAGGCAATTGGGGAGACCTTAGAGCCAAAGAGTTGATCAGCTACAAGCGACGTGACGAAGATAAAGCCCACAAGACATCCCAAACCCAATGCTGAGCCAACCACCCAGTTTCTTCCTTCCCTTGATTCATTATTACCCTTTAGAAAGTTGATTGATTTGCACTGAGGCTTCGCTGTGGTCCTCAGCAGCAAGACTGTCCCTGAAAGTTCTACCATTTGGAGAACCACAAGTGATAGCACCTGTACAATGTAACCACACCATGAATTTCAAGAAGAAAAATCAACTGCAGAATCAAAATGACAGAGACTGGGTTTCACCACTCTTAACAAGCAACCAAATGCATCTCACATAGGTAGAAAACTAAACTGCCCTTTGCTCATCTCTAAAGTGTACAATTCAACAAGATATCGAACAGTCTTCTCGAACTAGTAAATGTAAACCTTCCAGACAAAAGGAAAGGAGACTCACTTGGGTCTGAGGATCAAGAACCTGCTGGTGGAGTATGTTGGCAACAATGGATAAACCCCCAAAACTGAGAGGA